TTATATCTATTATTAATTTACCATAATTTCATCAATATTTAATTTCAATTTAATGTTTGCTCAGTGTAATTTCCAAAATATATGTTACGGATGCGAATAGAGGGAGAGACACACGCACACACACACACACACAACAACCTTCGCCAGAGTGTGCCAAGTGTTATTTTCACAATTGGAGCACACACTCGAAAATGTTGTCTTGAAAACGAAAGTGACCCACGATTACATACTTCGACTTGGTTGTTCCTACAGCCACCCGCGCCGCTCTCGCCCGGCTGGTTCCATTGATGATGATTCTTCATTCATGACCCGCTGTGGCTGGCTAGCGCTGACTGCGATTTACTTCAGCTGACGCTTAGCCCTCGATGCCCAGATGAAAACATTAAGCAAATATTTGTGCCCATCAGCAGTTGTGCTCCCATTTCGTTTGAACAGGAAATAGCTGCTTAGACAAGGCCGTTGCGTATACGCCGAGTGGGCCGGGCGCGCGCGCATCATCAAAACTGTCAACTGGCCACACTTACAACACCTACAACACACATACACACACACGCGCGCGAGTCATGAGCTTTTAAACAATTACGAAACAATGAAAAGAAAATCAAATGAAATCAAGTCAAATCAAAAAGTTTTATAATTGCTGCCAAATAAAATTACGCAGGTAAAAGTGTTTAATACACGAGCGGGAGATGGACTGCCCAATACCCTGTAAACGAAATCGTAGTAGTCAGTAAATATACGCAATATGAGAATAACCTAAATTAGAGTAATACAAGTAGATAACTTGTTCCAAATATAAGATATGATTTATATGGAGGTATATCTTAAATATAAATATAAATTATATATATCTATAATCATTCTTTAATCTTAATGAGCAACATTATATTTATTCATATATATTTTAAAATGTATTTATTGACATTAAAATACCCTTCTCGTAGACGCCTTGTTTCCAGGGCAACGATAAAAGTATGATGCTACCAAAACAAACACTAATTGCTTAAATTGTATAGAGAAAGAGATAGATCGAGAGGGAGTAAGCAGCATATAAATGAGTTTAGGCACTCGAATCTGCGCTGGCCACAAATTATCAAACGTAATTGAAGCGCGTCTCTCGTCTTGACTGCGAGAGAAATTGTATTTAGGTGTATGAAAAAAGAAAAAAAAAAAAATAATAATAACGAAAACAGGCAACAGGTCGGCGGCGGCTGCTGCTGCTGCTTTACGTCATCGTCAGCAATTGAAATTGGTGCACTTGGACATGCTGAGGAAGCCAAGTGCCGACAGCGAGCTGTAGCAGAGGGCGCAAAAGGTAACAAAGCAGCTGCAACACGAGGCGATCGCGTTGCGACATCACCAGAAGCAGGCGCTGGGCAGGAGGGGGCGGGGGAGGGGTGCGGAGCAGGTGTCTACTGAAAATCAGGTCACCTGTGCAGTAGCTGTCGCCAAGTGGCAGCGGTGCGAGTTTCAGTTTTTTGCCTTTGGTCTTTGTCTTCGGGTCTCCCCGCATTGACATTGCCTGCACTTGGCGCGACTTATTGGCATTTGCGTTTGCCCTTCGTTCGATTTGGGCTGTGAGCATGTGTTTGCGTGTGTATGTGTGTGTGTGTGTGTGTGTGTGTGTGCGCCAGGTCATCTTATTTTATTTGTTTGTTGTTTTTATTTGTTGATTTCGGTGGGTATTTCCACGAGGGATTTCTGGCAGCTTAAAAATAGACTGATGCTCTGAAGAATGCACTTGAGCCGGCGTTGTTGCCACTTGTTGCACTCAAGTGCCATCGGACTGAAAATTGTTGTCTATCAT